CTAGAAAGAAAACCAGGCAGAACACAGCTGGATATGAAGGGAACTTGATTATATGTATTCTTCCATTATATAAAATTGACATTGCCTCACCTCAGCAATAAAGGAAGTCTGTATGTAAGCAGGTGTATTTAACTCTACTGTTAAGATTAAAAAATATTACTAAAGACAGTTCTCTCCTTACCACTGTTTGCATTCCCATGGTGGCTGTTATAAACTTTGTAGCCAGTGGGTATATATGATAAAGGAATCATTCTAGGATGACATAAAATAGGATGGGCCATAAACCCAAAATAAATTTTAAATATTTAACTAAAATAATGGTAGTGGAGACGTTGCACTAGTTAAAAGTTATTCACTCTGCAATGGACACAGGGCAGTATGTGTGATTTTTTGTTTGATCTGAGGAAGGGGCTGACAGCAGGCTGACTTGGGATCCCAAATGGGGTTGGGAAATGAGCCTGAGGATAACAAATTCTTCTAATTCCAAATTCCTATAATTGAGGAAGGCAAACGTCCCTGCTTGGCTACCTGAGATCAGGGCTGGCCTTGTTTACCTTTAACTTTTCTAGGTCAAGGAAAAAAATCTGCAGCAAGAAACTTCTGTGCGGCACTAGCAGGTCAACCCCATCACTCGTGAGGGATGAAGATTTCCTGTGTTTGTTTTTAACTGGCCTGTCTTGCTTATAAAAGTACATCTCTTTTTCCCCAGAGAATTTGTTAATCAAGGTAGTTTGCAGGCTTCAGGAATTAGCTCATTTATTTGGGGCAGCAGAAGAATGAACCAGTTGGGAGTGCAGGCCCTGGGCTCAGGCTGCCTGGCCTTGTAGTCTGACTCTGTAGCCGGACAGTGGGGTGACCCTGGGCCACTTTGCAAGGCCTCACCCACCCTAGGAGGTAGCTACTGCTATCGTCCCCGTTTTATAGATTAGAGGCTGAGTCACAGGGAGGTCTTATGCCTGGCACTTTATTTTCTAACTATCTGGCACAGAGTAAATAGTCAATAAAAGCCAGTTGTTACTCTTTGAGATGTTCGAAGCAAAAATCTGGAAACTGTAGAAGTCATCTTGCTGGGGGGCACTTTCTCATATTGTCTGGAATACAAGTTCTGAATTGCTCTTGTGTGCAAGGCTTTCTGCACTGTGGTTGAGGGATTTCGAAGAGATGGGTCCAGCATTCCTATCTGGGAGAAGCCAGGAAAGGTTTGCACTGTGGTATGGGCTCCATTCTCATGAGTTCTGTTAACTCCATGTGACACCCTACCCTAAACTAAGGATGGGGTTACCGTCCCAGATTACTTACCACTGCCAGAGAGCTCTGCCTCACTGGTTCCTGAGGTGTATTTGTAGGCATGTGTAATTATTTGGTGGACAATACTGTTTACTGGCCTCTGTAGGGCAAAGCCTGACACCTTTGATCTCTTGTTTCTTGGCTAACAGCAGAGCTAGTCCTCGGAGACTGGGAGCTGGGTTTTCCTCACCACCAGTATTAATGTAATTCACAGAAGGGAGGAGATCTGGATTCTAATCGAGAAACCATTCTGCTTTCTTTTACATGAAAACCTCCAAAATAATACTGGGGGAGTCTTTTCTTTTTCTCTAGAATTTTAAGAAACAAAGGTTCGCGATTTATTTCAAATGCTGCATTAAAAATATTTGTTATTATTAAAAAAACAACAGCTTAGGACAAGAAATTTGAATGTGCTTAGGATAAAACTTAACCAATGGAGAATTTGTTTCATATGTTAAGACCATGCTGAGTCTCTTTAAGCACGAAGTCATTGCTGTTTTAACGTTTTTCTATCAAAGTGTAATTCATATTAATATTATCAATTTCTACCTTACATAAAACGTTTAATCTGCATCTTACTGTGGTAGTTTTCAGCTGAATGGCAAATTTTATAGGGATTAAAAAATAAATAAATAAACTCAAGTACATACCTAATAAGAGGAAAAAAAAATGTAGAAATTTAAAACAATCAAAAAAGGGGGCTTCCCTGGTGGCTCAGTGGTTGGGAGTCCGCCTGCCGATGCAGGGGACATGGGTTCGTGCCCCGGTCCGGGAAGATCCCACATGCCATGGAGCGGCTGGGCCCGTAAGCCATGGCCGCTGAGCCTGCGCATCCGGAGCCTGTGCGCCGCAATAGGAGAGGCCACAACAGTGAGAGGCCCGCGTACCGCAAAAAAAAAAATGATGGACAACTATCATTTAAAAGCGATAATGAAATGAAGGATTTCTTTGATAGCATTAAAAACCACAGTGGAAGTGGAGCATATGCTGGTATCACTATAACATGGTCAAACCAAATTTATGTCGTGCTTTTGTGTGTGTTTGAACACATACTAACTTATGATCCTATTCTTTTATGTTTATTCTATTGTGCTCTATTTCCTTCTCGTTGATCAATGCACAATGAATTTTTCTCTTCAAGTTAGCCCCTGCTTCCCTCCAGCATAGGTGCTAAAATTTTTAAACTTGAGGCTCAGGTGTGGGGCCCTGGGCAACCCCAGCCAGATCTGACAGTATTTAATATTAGCCCCATCTCTATGTGGGGTTATAAGTCTAAACCAGTGGTTCTCAAAATGTGGTCCTAGAGCAAGCAGCATCAGCATTGCCTGGGGTGTGGTTAAAATGCAAATACTTAGGCCCTGAACCAGACCTACTTGATCAGAAACTCTGGCACAGGGGCCCAGCAATGTGGGCGTTTAATGAGCCCTCCAGTTGGTTCTGATGTTCATTAAAGTTTGAGAGCCTTTTGTCTCAACTTGGTCTTGCTGCCCTGTATCCTGTCTACCTGGGTTGACTTCCTAGATACACACATACCTATAAAGCTCAGTTATCCCCTCTGATTTCCTCATGACTGGGTCTCTGTCTCTCTGACTGGGTTTATGCCCTGATTTCAGATTAACACTCTAGCTCCCAGCTGGGATTTCCACCTGGCCTGCTGGACCAGAGCCCTGTCAGCTCATTTCCTTAAATATATCACAGTCCTGCTTTTACTCTTCTCCCCTCCTGGCTGGTGGACAAGTCTGGCATTGAATCAGTTGGGCCATTTGGAGCCAATTCGCACTGGGGCATCTCCATGACCTGGGAACTCCATGCTGTGCCTCCCAGCAGGCCATAATAGCACTGGCCTAAGATGACCTCCAGGCCCCTCACCTGTGGACGTTATAGTTGACATTACTATCCTTCTTTATTAGTCCCTGTCCTATAACCTGATAAACATTCTAACCTGCCTAAGGCCCCATTTTCTATTACCCTGTCCCTACTGATCTGGATATCAAGAGACTGCATGAGCTATAACATCTATCTGGAGTCAGTGGATACCTTTGGAAAACACTACAGTAGAGTTAGGTAAACATTTTAGGGTAAAACATGTATTGATTTGGGACAAATCCTTCAGAGTAAAGAAAGACAATAGTAGAAAATAAGTTATATTTGAATTACTTTAAGAAAATGTTGCCACGTTATGTTCTGAAATAAAGCACCACTTTATGTTCTGAATATTCTAATTTACCTGATAGAGCATTCAATACATTTATCTTGTGAGGACTGGTATCCTCTAACTTCTGCTTTCCAAGTCCTAATTTTTCCACGCACGGATCCACCTACTGAATTTATTTTCCCGAAACCTGAACACACCATTATCTTACTATCAGTTTACAGGAGACTCAACACCATAGCGTTTAATAAAATATTCGTGCTCATCCAGAGGAGCCTATAAGCAGCTACCACCGTGAAAGAAATTGAAGGTCACATTTATATGCCTAGAAAACAGTTCAACAAGTGTTTCAAAACATTCTCCATTTCAACCTTTGGTCAAAGCCCTTTTATGTTTTAGCAATATTCACAATACTTGAAGAGGTCCTTTTTTCCTTGAATTGCATTTAATGCGTAACCACTTGGCCCAGTTTAGACATAAGCTTTCTTACCCTAAACTCATGAGTCCCGCTTCTGCTTCTATTTGTCAGATGGATAGAAATTTGTCAGTAAAGCCTTAACAAAAGGAATTTACATGCGTGGTTATATTCATTCAATTTTTCATGGAGCAATTATTTATTCCATTCTACTATGTGCCAAGCACTACATTGGTGCTGGAATAACAGAGTCCTTGCCTGAAAAAAATCTTCTTGGAAATCCCCTCCCAGTCAGATGGATCTTTTCTTGTCAGAGATGGTGGGTTATGGATTTGCCTCACAGAGAATGGGTGGGGACCAGGGAGGGGCTGCATGATCATCAAGATGTATGGCTTTGGAAAGTAAAATGTGACTTATGAAAGCACTGTTACATTCTGGGATGTGAAAATGAGGACCCAGATCAAAGAAACAAAGACAACAACATTTACTTTTTCATAATTGGTACAAGCTATTCATTTTTCATCAAATCTTCTACTACCTGCATACTTTGGGTTAATAGCAATCATCTTCCAAGCACGGCTTACTGGATGGCCCCTAACTGAAGTCTTGACCCGATTTTCCTTTAAGAAATTGTCTAATCTGTGTCTATAGCATCCCTCTGGCCAAACATATGGTTGAATAATCAAATACATTTAAGCATTTCCTGTGCCTCTAATTCTATCCTAAGTGCTGTGACAAATTAAAAACAAAGCAAATTCATTTCCTTCTTGGTATTACAGATTTTTCTCTATAAATTCTACTGTATCATAAGTATCTTGAGGACAAGACTCATGCCTCACTCATTTTTGTGAACTCCATAGATTATCACATTATACTCAGTAAATATGATTGAATGGAAAAATTCATAAAGAAATTCATTTCTAGGGACTGTAGACTATAAACATCATCCTGAAGTTTCTAGAACTCTTGGAAAAGTCAGTTCTGTTGGTGATAGGTCATACTGTTTCACCTTGTGAATGAAGGTCAACTTGACCCCAGGGAAAGTTAGTGTACAGACATGCCATTGTACTCTTGACCAGTCAGCAACATCAGAAACAGTGCAGCCATGCCTCATAATGATTTCCTTTGTTAAGCAGTGTCACTCACCTGATCTGAAGCCAAGTCAGCATGGGGGTTGTTCCTCCTCCGAATACCCAGACTGTGAAGAACACGAGGAGCAGAGTGGTGGTAAACATCATTTGCTTGGGCTGAGATTCTGTGTTCCGAATAGCTAAGGCAAAAGCTATCGCTCCTCGCAAACCTGATGGAGAAAAACCAAAGAAGGAAAAGAAACATCTGCACGAGTGTCATTCTCATTTCATTGAATTTATCTTTACAATTTACTGACAAACACAATTATATTTTAAAATTAAACTTTTAATTTTGAGATAACTGTAGACTCACATGCAGTTGTAAGAAATAATAGGGACTTACTGTGTGCCCTTTCCCCATTTTCTCCCCAGCGGTGATGTCTCGTCTTGCAAAACTGTCTAGTACAACATCACACCCAGAATTTTGACGCTGATATAGTCAAGATTCAGTACATTCCCAACACCATAAAGATCCCTCATGTTGTCCTTTATACTCACACCTGCTTCTCTCCCACAAACTCCTTAACATCTGGCAGCCAGTAATCAATCATCCATTTCTATAATTTTGCCGATTCAGGAATGTTATATAAATGGAATCATGAAATATGTAGCCTTTTGTAATTGGCTTTTTTTCACCCAGCGTAATTTTTGGATACTCATCCAGGTTGCCAAATGTATTGATAGTTTGTTCCTTTTTATTGTTGAGTAGTATTTCCATGGTATGGATATTCCACAGTTTGTTTAACCGTCATCTGTTAAAGGACACCTGGGTAGTTTCCAGTTTTTGGCTATTACAAATAAGACTGCTGTGTGAATGAATGTAAGTTTTCAGCTCTCTGAGATAAATGCCCAGGAGTGCAATCACTGAGTTATATGGTATTTGCATGTTTTTTTAAATTAATTGATTTTAATTAAAAATTTTATTGAAGTAACATTATTTAAATTTATATGTATAACATTGTATATATTATAACATGTTTCACGTGTCCAACATTATATTTCTTTTTTTAATTTAATTTTATTTATTTTTTTATATAACGTGTTTTTATTTTATTTATTTATTTATTTATTTATTTTTTGCGGTACGTGGGCCTCTCACTGTTGCGGCCTCTCCCGTTGCGGAGCACAGGCTCCGGACGCACAGGCTCAGTGGCCATGGCTCACGGGCCCAGCCGCTCCACGGCATGTGGGATCTTCCCAGACCGGGGCATGAACCTGTGTCCCCTGCATCGGCAGGCGGACTCTCAACCACTGCGCCACCAGGGAAGCCCCTATAGCATGTTTTTAAAAGAAATTACTACCAAACTTTTCCAGAATGGCTCTAGTATTTTACATTCCCAGCAGCAATAGATAAGTCATCCAGTTTCTCCGCCTTTACCAGCCTTTAGTGTTGTCATTATTTTAAATTTTAGCCATTTTGATAGCTTATTGGGGTTATAATTTCCATTTTCCTAATGGCATTGTACATTTTTTAATGTGCTCATTTGTGATCTATCTACCTGCTTGGGTGAAATGGCTCTTTGTGTCTTTATCTCATTTTCTAATTGAATTGTTAGATGTTTGTTAAATTTTGAGAGTTCTTTATATATTCTAGATAATAGTCCTTTGTTGGATATATAGTTTGCAAATATTTCCTCCCACTTTGTAGCTTTTTATTGATAAAGTCTAATCTGTTGATCTTTCCTTTTATAAATCATCTATTTGGAGCCAAGTCTAAGAACTCTTTACTTAGCACTAGGTCCCAAAGATTTTCCCTTATATTTTAAATTTTTTTCTAAAACTTATTTAGCTTTACATTTTACCTTTAAGCCCATGCTCATCTTGAGTTAATTTTGGTATAAGCGGCGAGTTTCAGGCTGAGGATCTTTTTTTTTTTTTTTTTTTTTTTTTTTTGCCTATGGATGTTTAATTGCTCTATTGAATTGCTTTGGTACCTTTGTCAAAAACCAATTGGGTGTATTTGCGTGGCTCTATTCCTGGGTTCTCAATTCTGTTCCATTGATCTATGTGTCTATTCCTGTTCTGATGGTACACTGTCATGATTACTGTAGGTATATGGTAGGACTTAGTATTGGGTAGACCTCCTGCACTGTTGGTGGGAATGTAAATTGATACAACCACTATGGAAAATATTATGGAGGTTCCTTAAAAAACTAAAAATAGAACTACCACATGACCCAGCAATCCCATTACTCGGCATATATACCCTGAGAAAACCATAACTCAAAAAAACAGATGTACCACAATGTTCATTGCAGCACTATATTTACAATAGCCAGGACATGGAAGCAACCTAAATGTCCATTGACAGATGAATGGATAAAGAAGATTTGGCACATATATACAATGGAATATTACTCAGCCATAAAAAGAAATGAAACTGAGTTATTTGTAGTGAGGTGGATGGATCTAGAGTCTGTCATACAGAGTGAAGTAAGTCAGAAAGAGAAAAACAAATACCTTATGCTAACGCATACATATGGAATTAAAAAAAAGAAATGGTACTGATGAACCTAGTGGGAGTGTAGAAATAAAGACGTAGACATAGAGAATGGACTTGAGGACACTGGGTGGGTGGGGAAGGGGGAAGCTGGGGCAAAGTGAGAGTAGCATCGATATATATACACTACCAAATGTAAAATAGTTAGCTAGTGGGAAGCAGCAGCATAGCACAGAGAGATCAGCTTGGTGCTTTGCTATGACCTAGAGGGGTGGGATAGGGAGGGTAGGAGGGAGGCTCAAGAGGGAGGAGATATGGGGATATATGTATGCATATGGCTGATTCACTTTGTTGTACAACAGAAAATAACACAGTACTGTGAAGCAATTATACTCCAATAAGGATCTATTTAAAAAAAAAATCGGGTAGAGTGATTCTTATTTTTCATTTCCAAAAGTCTTTTAAATATTCTAGATCTTTTGCCTTTCCATAAAACTTTAAAAGAATATTGTCTGTATTTACAAAAAAAATCTTTCTGGGCACAAATACTTTTAGAAAATCAAGTGTGTTAGACAACAAGGAAAACCAAGCTTATGGACCATTGAAAATTAATAAACGATTAAATGACATTTAAGAGTTATTCCAGCCTGAGAACATACTTTGACAAAGTCTATAATCTAAACTGACCTATTAAAACCTGCTTTTTTGTCTATTTTTCTTCTTTAATAATAATATGTTAATTGAATTTTTATGAAGCCATATTAAATATATTTGCAAGAAGATGTTAAAGAAGATTAAATGCTATAATTTCAAATCAAAGTGTGATGACATTATAAAAACAGATGTAGACTTTGAAGAAAAGTAAATAAAAGCACAAGTAGTAAAATAAAAAAGTTAAAATTGAAAATCTCTCTTGGGTAACACAAGACTTATAAGACATTTACAGGCTCTGTTACACCACGTAACAGGGCAAATAAACATTTATAATGATAGCAAGTATAAGTCAAAGGTAGTGATTTTTGCTACTTTTATAGGAAGGTTTAAGTCACATACATAAAATTTCAATGGTCCATTTTTTGTAATATTTATTGTATTAATATCATCTAGGTTTCTAATTTTCTAAATCTTTATTCATACATTAAGAGACTTTTAGAAATTGGATACAGGTTAGGATGAGAAAAACTATAACTACTTTGGTCTTTATCCTTGGCTTTGCAACTTAGAATATAATGCTCCTTTCTCATCTTTACACTGAGAATATACAAGAGACAAGTGGCATAACACAAGATCCAGAGGATTAGAATAGAGAGACTTAATATATTTTGCCTGAAAGAAGGAAGCCTCAGAAAGAGAGAGGAACATGCACTCTGATTATAAAATTACCTTCAAGGAACAAAATGTAATGGAGGAAGAAAATTATTCTAAATCTCCATGTAGACAAGGAAATGGCCTGAAGATAAGAAAGGTAACATTTGAAGTAGATATTAATAAAGAAAAAAAATTTTTTTCATCAGAAATTCTGAACACTTAGATGGCTGTACTCAAGAAGAGTACACCAGAGACGTTCATGCACTTAGACCCAGCTGGGGACAAGAAAGTGGGGATATTAATAACCCTTATTACTGGAGAATATTTCAATAATGTTCTCTCCAGGAAATACAAATGGTGTCATTAGGGAATGAGAACTGAAAGAAACAGTTTTCCAACAGCCTTCTATATCTGAGGAGAAAATGTATAGGTTAAGGTAAAGCTCCTAGCAGTGTTTAATCAGGACAAGATTGGAGATAGAAAGTGATCTTTTCTTTTTCTCTTTTCCTCAAGCTCACATTTCCAGAAGTGTCCATAAAGAAGCATTACTCCAGTTAAGTGGTGTGTATTAGAAATATTAAGCGATAAGACTCTAAGTATTTGTTTTCATTATATTGAATATTTGTGTGTGTGTGTGTGTGTTTGGCTTTGTTTTTTTCATTTTTTGTTTTTACTTTGAATTTTGTGAGAAAGAGAAAAATAGAGACTGGAATAAAAGTTAAAACTTGCTACGTCATGTTTATTGTAAAGTTCATGTTAGTTATCAAGGGCAAGGAAGGACATAATCATTTATCTTCCTGAATATGTTTAATAATGTATTGTTATTATGTTAAACTAGCATAACTAGGCTCTTAAATCTAAATTATCTATACATGAGCAGTTCTTAGTTTAAAAATATACTCAAAAGATATATGTTATTCTGACTTCTAAAAAAATCTGTATCCTATAAATAAAGCTCTATATTTACAGGAGATGCAATGTAGAGATCTCTTTAAAAAAAAGAAGAAAGAAAAATGCAGCCACTGCCTTGTACTTGTACTTGTGGAATATTAAGAAACATTGATATTTAGAACCAACTTCAAGATGGCTCTATAAGAGGAGCCCTCCCCCATATAATGGTCACCTAAAAAAACACAGAAACAGTGTGTTTTTGGAGAAGAGAGTATCTGTCTGTAGCCCTGGCCACTTTTCGCAAATATGGCTCATGCCACATGTGAGATGGCCTAGTAGCATGGGAAGCATGGAACTGAGAAAGGTGAGGTCACTAAGTAGACAAAGTGAAGCTCATTTAGAACTCTAGATGAGAAAAACTGCCTACATACCATTCATCCTTTATGATGCCAAAGTTATTGATCACGCATTTGGCCCCTAGACAATTGTCAAATCAATGGCCATTCATTGCTTCATTCAGCACATATGTGT